TTAAGGCAGTTTTATCTTCCTTTCTTTCAAGAAGTGGCTGGCTCTACATTGGCCCCAGGAAAGGAGGGGCTTGATGCTTCCCTACCAGGGAGTGGCAGCCCCAAGGCATGCTGGAGGATACCAGATGTTTCTACAATCACCTATATCACGGGTGGAGCCTCTCTTCTCGTCTCTTCCACCATCTCCCCCTTCTGGGACTGAGTTCCTCCTACTCCATCCTAAACCCACCCAGGTTTGGGTCCTTCCCTCTACCTTCTGCTGAGAAGTGTCCATCTCACCCCACCCCAGCATCCCTCTTAATCATCACTGTTCAGCAGCCCTGTTCAGCAGGTGCGCAACAGAGGTTCCAGGAGAGAATACAAATTTGAGCTAAGACAAGCTGCCGTGGCCTCGTGAAGTAGGGTGATAAGGGGGCACCAAATCAAAGGTTCTCTTGAAAAGTTCCTCGGACACGTTGAAAGAAGCCCGCTGTTCCACCGAGGAGTTCTGTGCCCTTGGGCAATTCACAACACAGGGCTTCCAAATTGCTTTCAGAGCTGGCAGTATGGACCCATGTACATATCCTCATTACATGGTTTCTGTGTACTGACAGAGTCAAAGAATTGACTCCTCATGAGTTTGTTTAGAGAGGAGACACTGCCCTTAGGCTAGGGCCTGGGACACCTGTGTTCACATTTCTCTCTCCTTCATTTTCCCATTGGAAGACAATGTGGACTGTTTAGTGTCTGGAGCCTACACTCAAGTCTCCTCTTGGTCATGTATTAGAGGCTTCCTCTGGAAAGCTTGGTATGATGTCACTGGCCCAAGTGCAGAAGCACATCGCATGACTGTGAATATGTTATGTATTCATCCTACTAACATTCATGCCACACAGAAAATGTAGGGCCCATTTCTAAGAGGCAGCTGGCTTGGATTCCAATATTGCCCTTGGCTTGCTGTTGGCCTAGCAACTTCCCTCAGCTTTCATGTCTTCATCTGTGACATGGGAATGGTCATCATGTCCAGTAAACAGGATTGGGTGGCTTGGATACCACAAGAATGCAAAATAAACTAGGGAGTTGTATTCTGTGACACAGTTCAGCAATATGTATACATTATTATATCTCCTTTCATGTATACTTGTTTGTGTGTTTTAATTCTTCTACAGGAGCATCTTCACTACTTTTGATAACAAATTTGCTTTCATTTCAGTACCCTGCAGCTGTTTTGATATGGGATCTATGATCCCCAGATGTTATTACCCTGGCTTTTTTCTTTTCATTGGATCAGATGATCATAGGCAGACAACAGACAATGGAAAAGATGTGTGTGGGGAGGGAAAGAAGGAAGCCAGGACTGAACAAAGGCTTGGGGACTGGCTGGCTTTGGGGTGCTGGGCTGTCTGGTTGGAAGGAAGCCTGCAGAAGCTGGTTTTGAAGAAGGGGAGTATCCTCAGGGAGGGTGGCAGTGGCCTGCAGCCCTACAAGTAGTACCATATTGTGGATTAGGAAGGTCAGAAGACATGTTTTGATTCAAGTCAGAGAGTCCTTCCTCTGAACAACAAAGAACATCACCAGTACTGGCCAGTCTGCTTCTGGTGGCCTTTGCCTCTGTTGCCGGCATGGCTCAGACCTGGGCCTTCTGTTGCCCGTTCTCTTTGAAAGGTATATAGGGTGAGACCAATTTCTTAGATTTCTAAGGAGGGTCAATGAAATAGTGTTTGTGACATGGAGAAGAAAATAACATGTCTCTTCCATTATTGCTAGGTTGGCAGTGTGAGCTTACATGGGTTTTGGAGCAAAGCTTAATACAAATTCAAATAATAATAGCTTTGCCTCAGCCCACAGAATCTCTTCATTCAGACATCCTTCATCCTTCACCTTCTGCCTTGTGTATCATCTCCAGACACCTGCCTCACCCGAAGCCCCATCTCTCCCATCATTGAGAATGTTCTTCACATCTAATTTACGACTGTTTCTCACCTTGTATGGCTGCCATATTGGATGGTTCTACCCTTGTGCTAACTATCATAGCATTCTTCATGTCATCCGTTACATGCCCGCTCCTGGCAATTCGTCAACAATTTAAAGAAGAGGCAAAGTTCAGGAGTTTAGGGACTCTGCTGAGAAAAGCCATGGAAGGACCATGGAAAGGAGAAGAGATGAGCCATGAACCTGTTAGACACTAGTGGGACTAGACTGGCCCTTCAGGGAGCACTGTGCAAAGATGACTAGGCCCACAGCCAGGACACTGGCTCCTTGTTTAAGCTCCAAGGCCTGGAACATGTTCCTGTGAATTAGACACAAAAGGCTAAGCAAAATAATATGACTCCTTTCAAAATTCAGGTTTCCATATTCTTCCCAACTGCCGTGTGTGTGTGTGTGTGTGTGTGTGTGTGTGTGTGTGTGTGTGTGTGTGTGTGTTTACAAACAATGAAGGTTTCTCAACAGGAGATGGGTGCTGGTGGGAAATCTCAAGCCTGTGGGTCTGATTCTGCATGGGCATTTGCACTTTGCTCTTGGCGAGTGTTTGTTTCCTGCTAGAAGCATATGGGTTCCTGCCAATGCCAAAGCTATTGGACTTCTAAATATAGCGTAACAGATGTGGATGAGGACCATATTATTTTCTGCATTGCACAAAGGATCTTTTTCTTTTTTCTTTCTTTCTTTTTTTTTTAACCCAGAAAAGCCAGACAGCAGCCCAGTTCTGGTTAGGCTCAGCCATCTCAGTGTAGGACACTGGGGTTGGTCTCATGACTTTCAAGTGTTGATTCCTTTACACCAGATTTTTCTTAACCTGTGCTCTGGGAACAGGTGTACTTGCCTAGACACAAAAGCTATTGCTTAGATCCTTAGAAAGGAATGTGGTGATGCTTGTGTTTTTCTTACAGAGTGGTTTCTCTGACTATCAAAATATCCACAAGTCAAGCATAGTATGAAACAGTGACTGAAGGTACACATGGTTCCACAGTGTGTGTGTGTGTGTGTGTGTGTGTGTGAGAGAGAGAGAGAGAGAGAGAGCTGGAGCCACAGGTCCCATGCTGTGTTTGGAGGCAAAGGCAGTCATGCTAATATATCACTACTCATCCCTGGCTAGTGGGTATCTAGCTGGTTTAACTGATGGGTTCTATGTACCCACCATTGTCCTAACACTGTGTTGTCACACCCACTGGTAACACTACACACTCCTGTTCTCAAGACCTGTGAATTTTACTTGATGTTGTGAATTTTACTCAATGCATATTTGTTCATCCAACAAACACCAAGGTGATTTTTCCTTGCCCTGCCCACCCAGTCCTTTCAAAGTGGGCAGCATTTCTGATAGCAGCAGTGCTGGCCAGTGGAAACACGGGCCCGTCGTTAGTCCGAGGCAGAAGCCTGCTCGTGGAACATGAGGTCTATTTGGCGGGGCAGGGAGTCCACAGTGCAAGGTAAGGGTGGAGTCCAGGGGTAATCTGGAGATAGGCAGCACACAAGCTGCTGTTTCCAAGCTCCCCCTTGAAGAAGGCCATATATGCCATTTCCTAGGCTGTTAGTCAAGAGAAAGGTGGCCTGCAGTTAAAGCTTAGAATAGAAATTTCACTTGGTTTTATATGAATGGATCAAATTTGGAGACTAAAAATGGTACCTGATTTCCCCTTCTATGGCTCCCTTTCCATTACTGCTGTAATGGGGATCTTGGTGAATATTATTATATTCCCCAGCAATCTAAGTTCTTCTTAGAGTCTAAAGTCATGTACCTTATCTTATGTCCTTTGAAGTCAAATCTAGTGTTAATAGAGTCTATGAGACACTGGACAGGTGTCTGGTTCATCTCCTCTTTCTTAGTATCACAGAAGTTACATGATCAAATATAATACTAAAAGACTAAATACTTGTGGCTCTTTTATATATATTTAAAACACACAGTAAGAACATAAGAACATCTCAAATCATTTAAAAGGTTAAATGGGTTATCAACCAAAATCTTTGGAAATTTCATAAAATTTAAATATCTGCAAACAATTCAACCAAAAGGAAAGGGGGGCGGGGTCAGAAACAAACTCCCAACATTTGGCCATAGAGGGCACTTTACATGTGAACCAAATGGTATTACAACATCATCTTTCAGAGAACTAGTCACTACACCCCGTGAGAAAGAGTACAAGAGCAATATCGGAGACATCCCCCAATCCCACACACCCAGTTAGAACATTCCATTAAGAACTCCTCTGCCATGGGCTTTCATTCATTGCATAAGCCACATTACATCTCCACAGCGCAATGCCAAGCAGCCTTTGAGTTCTGTAAAGTAGGCTGGTGTCCGTTCTATAAAAATATTAACTTACAGTACATAACACTCCTTAATTTTTAACCTGTACAGTTTTTCCCTCCCATGGGTGACACACATCAGTTTGTACAAGCCAGAAAAAAAAAAAAAAAAAAAACACTCATCTGGTTGTTTACATCTGGGATAATAGTCAACAGAGTCAACCAGAATTTGGTGTGATGGGAATAGTCTATGAGAGTATCAATACAGTAGAACAGTAAGTACTGCAAATAACAACAGGCAGCCTTTAACAAGTAATACAAAATAAAATTGTCCTGGAGTTCTACTTATTAATTTATTTAGGCTGAAAAGATCTAGCTGAAAATGTCCTGCCAAAGAGCCGACCAACTGATCCAGAAGTTTAGAGGTGCCGAGACTCGGCAACCTGCCGCACAACCCAAAACACTGGCGAAGTTCAGGGCTCTTCAAGTGCATGGCTTCAGTGTTACAAGTGCATTAATCACATTCCTTCAATTAGTTAATCCTCTAGACAGCTTTCTTTGTGTTTTGCATGCATCCTGTTCCGTTCTCATTAAGGGCATCTCTTCTTGAGGAGCCATGGGCTTTGCTTTTCAATTTGTTTTTGTGATTTTTTTTTGAATGTTTTGTTTAACTGTCAAAACCTCCAACACTCTGAACAAATGAACAGTGGCTGTGGTCTTACAGAAGAGGGCTGTGAGCATCGTGCGAAATGAAATGAGGAGAGTGTCAGAGACAGTTTATAAAAATGGCACATTTATTGCTACAGAACGGTCATGTACATGACTTCATCGAGTAACTACAGATGGGAACAGGTAATGGTCTAGACCAAGCTGGGTGGTTTGCCTCTTCAGGAAGTCCAGCACACAACCTGTTTGGACACTTCTACAAATCAGAAATACACCAAAAACATGAAAAATCGAGGCACTCAGCCACACATTGAAAACAAGGTGTAACTGTTTATCTTTTTTTGAAATGTTTTCCCTTTTTTTCTTTTTTTTTTAACATTTTTTAAAGTTTTTAATGCTGCAGCTATGTGTACAGTCGCAAAAAAAAAAAGAAAGAAAGAAAGAAAAAAGTCCGCACTGCGACCCTACAACTAAAAACAAAAACAAAAAAACAAAAACAAACAAAAGAAGCTACCATACAGTTTCATCTCGGTAACACATGGTAAAATAACATCTTTTAAATAGTAAAATAAAGTAACAAACTTTTACTCATAATGATTCCAAAAATCTACAAAGAAGAAATATTCAGAATCTGACAATTTTTTTTTGTAATATTCATGGTATAAAAGGATTGCTCCTGCGAAAAATAAGCCAAATATATTTTTTATTTTTTAAATTTAGTTTTTTTTTCCTACTAGGGTGTACTACAGTCTATTTTATAGCAAAAGAGCACTAGACAGACAAAGCTTTATAACAAAAAGCCAGGCACTGATACATGGTAAATCTCTGCTTTTTTTTTTTTCTTATCTTCACTTAATTGCATCACAAGTAACGAGAATGAAAAAGGCCACAGTTCATATATTTCACCATTACATATGTCTATAATACTTGAAATGAGCATATGGCAAAACAGCACTGCACAGAGATGAGTCACTTCAAGTCCCATGAGAAAGAACATCTCGAAAGAAAACAAACATAACCAAAGCAAAATCAAGAAGAGGCCCAAAGGCCTTGGTGCCCCATTGTCTTGGAATTCATCATATTCCGTCTTCACCTCTTTATTTATTTATTTTTTTAAATTTATTTAATTTTTGCTTCCAGTCAGCCGGCAGACTACATTTTTTTTTTGTGCTTGTTCATGCTGAATCGTTTCATTCCTGACTTAAGTTCAGTTTTGGACACAGATCATATTCTGCCTGTTGGATGCAAAGATGAAAAAAAAAATCCTCTTACCCCCAAGTCTCAGTTCGACTCCCTCCCACTTCCCAACCCCTCATCAAAACAAAGATCACAAATAATAATAATTATAATAAAAAAATCAAGAGATGGGGAAAACGTGGAAAAACAAAACAGAACCAGGAATCGGAAGACTGAGTCAGAATCAGTTGTACGACTGGATGATCTGAGAGTTGTATGCGCATTAGTGTTCCTCATAGTTACACAGAAGACAAATGGTGAGAACTCCTAGATGGATAGATCCCTAACTCTGCATATTCATAAAGTACTTGAATGTGGAGGTGGATCAACTGTTCCAAGTTGCTTTCAAAGTCTGAGCCTCTAAACTGATCCCTAACCTATGCATCACCACACCATATATATCTAGTGTAGTCTGGACCCTTATGAAATGTATGAATAGTATTTTAATCCTGTCTTTAAGTTGCTTTCAAAAATCCAGTGCAGGAATACCAATATCTTACCTGGGTTTGATAATTACAAAATAACAACAAGAAAAAAACACATTAAAAAGGCCACATTCCCTTTCTTCTTCTTTTCTTTTAAACTGGAGATACAACCCAATTATTACAGAGAGGGTCAGATCATGTTTCTCCACCAAGCAGAATGCAGCCAGCAGCTTCTGGTGGCCTTTAGGGAGTCTTTTGCTTATTTCCAAAAGGAATTTGACAATAGCCGTATTACATTACCAAGTAATGAATACATCAAAGCTGGTGAGCAAGAAATTGCAGCTTTTCCTCTGTTTGAGTGAGAACAGAATATAAAAGCACCAATTGAAAAAAAAAAATCAAATGACTAATTTAACTTTTTGCTTTGTTTACAGATTGGAAAAACTTTAATTCAGCTTTAGTAAGCACCTTTACGATAACATGTATCAAAAGTGCCATTCTGAAAATGTACATCAATGCAGGGAGTATTTCCAGTTCCCTAAAGAGTAAACACCATATTCTCTTCTATACACTTATCCTGAATGTGATCAGAGTATACCTGCTTCCTATATAATAATAATGTTCCTAGGGATACCCGCCTTGGTAGACTATACAAAGTGAGTGCAGAATGGATCACGAAAAGGAAATCTTCAACATGGGGGAGAGAACAAGTACACATGGTTTCCATCATTTAGGGAGGAGGGGAGTGTACATTATTGTCTTCCGTGCCCTTCTTTGAGCCCCTCTGTTTGCACGTTTCACAGGAAAGCCCCCGAAGAACTTTTCATGAAATTTGATTTCTGCTATTCTCCTACGTTTTCAATCCACCTCCACATTTTAGGAACTTATCAACAAATCAAAGCATTTTAGTTTTATCACTACTGAACATATTTACAGTTTTCAACATGCACGCGCACACACACTCATACACACACACACACACACACACACACGTACACACACACACAGCTAATCAAAATGTTTATGGGTTTGTAAAAGGTGACCACGTGATAACTATCTTATTTGTTCTTACATTTTCGGAAATGAACATAAATTTCAGATTCTTGTAGCTCACTATTTCATTTAAATGACTTTTTTTTTTTTAAAAAAACCACACAGTTTAGAAAGCAAAAAACAAAAAACCTGATACAATGTATTAAAACACATAATAACAAGAGTCTACATGTAAAAATATAACTTTTACATACACAGTTTCAAAATAATGATAGGTTTGCCATTGGTTGCATAAAATTTACAAATGTGTTTCATCACTACGTAACTGGTAAAACAGGACAACGGATGGGGCATTTAGACCATTTCCATGGATTTATGGCATTTACTCAGTGCTGATAGGTGGAAAAAACTACTTCAACAGGGATTTTTTTTTTTTCTTAATACATGCCAAGATTGTGTGGCTGTAAAAATAGAAACCAGTTAGAGACGAAAGGATGCTGACGGATGCTTAAGTAGAAGCACTACTGTTTACTGCACTACACACCAAAGTCAACCATTAGGAAGATTTCGGATGGGAATTGGTTCAATTGTGCCCAGAGTCAACGCTAGCTATCTGATGAGTTGCTGTGCCATAGTTTGATCTATGTTTCTATCAAATGTTAAGTATAAACTTCATTCATACTGGCCAGAGAATACTGCACTATACCCCTCCTCATAAAAGTGCAACTTAATGCTTCAGGACTTATAAGGCTTGTTATAATGCTGCATGATTGGTTGGCATTTTTCAGACGAAGGAGGAGGCAAGTAAGTCATCTACTTTTTAGTAAACCCATTTTGAAAAAAAAAAAGAAAGAAAGAAAGAAAGAAAGCAACAAAATCAATCAGCTCGGTCACACTACTTGCAATTTTCTCATTTGACGGTTTTTGAACTTGACTCTTTTTTTTTTTTTAAGTTTTTGTATTTTTTCCAAAAATCTGACCATGTATTCAGAAACGCCTCACTGCACACTACTTCGGCTACACAGGTAGGTAACACTTGAATCGTTTTGTTAAATCACAGCCACTTTGATTATGTTATGTTTCCGATGATATAAACATTGGAAGGCACAGTGGTAACATTGTAGCATTCTAACCGTGTACCTCTGAAAATCCCAGGAGAGGGTCGCAAGGGCAGCGCCACAAGCCCGACAAACTCTTTTTGCCTTGCCTGGGCAATGCTGCATGTAATTTCTACACATGATGTGATTTTTTTAAGTCCTGTGTTCCCAAAAGACTGGAGAAACAACTTTCTACTATTTATGAATGAGAAGCAACATCAGGGTCAGCACTCCGTCCTGCACCGCCCCTCCGGAAGCAGAGTTGGCACTACAGGTTACAATAACAAACTGGGGAAGGGACAAAAATCAGACAAAAAAAAAAATCCATATTTACAGTAAAATCTTTCTTTTAAAAAAGTTAATCAGTACTATTTTTTTACAGGAGAAAAAAGTCTGAAACAAATGAACAAAAGCTTACCATAGTCACTAAATTTTTAATATATATTTATATATATATTTATATATATATTTGTCATAGGTCTATAACATCCATCTGTCCCTCCTACCCTAAGGAATGGCTAATGTCATCACTTGGTTGCCATCAGGACGTTTGCTGGTTTTGTTATGAGGGTAGCCGGGCTTCCCCTATCCAATATCCGGTCATTAGAAACACTAGCTGACTTGAATACCAACAAAAACGTTCATGTCGTTTTCTTCAGAAGTACACTTTTTCATTATTGCAAGTTTACAATTTTTTTTTAAATTAAATATTTTTTTCAGACTTACAAATTAATTATATTTTTTTTTTCCAAAAGAAGTTTAGGCACAAATGCATTGCTCCACAGTGTGGAAGGATTGCCATTCAGTCTCTGGGCTGTGTCTCAGCCTGTACATACCGCTTCGCACATTCAGAATGATATGTTAAAGAAGTCGCCCCTCAAGTTGCACTTTTTTCTTTCTTTCTTTCTTTCATTTTTTTTTGTTTGTTTTTCTGCTTTTTGATAATTGGGAATGCTGAAACCTCTTGCGTCTGCGATTCATAACTACTCAGACTTGTCTTATATTACAAAAAAGGGGGTTAAGGAGCAGTGTTTATGTGGGTTTAGGATAATACAGCTGTTAAGGAAGTGGTCTCTTGTTTTAATGAAGCAAGGTGGCAACTTGGACCTGAGAAAGGAAAAGGAGAAAAAAAAATAATTAATATGGTGATAGGAAAAGATTTTTTTTTTTTAATTTTTTAAGCCCCCTTTTTTCAAGAAAAGAAAAAAATACTGGCTAATCTGGGTAGTTCCAGTTGTTTGTGGCTTGTGTGCCACTGAGAGCTGTGGGTGGGCACTGAGAATGGACAACAGACCCAGCGTACCCTTTCACATCTGTCCCATGTGATTCGCTGCGTCTCCCATCCCAGGGTGTGGACCAGCCAAGGACAGAGGGGGAGGTTCTGAGGACACTTTCTCCTCCTCCCTTCTTTTCAGGCAGGCAGCTTTCGGGTTCAGATTCCTTTCTGTGGGATGGGAAAGCACAAGGCATCCAGTCAGCAGGGCTCAGCTGAGGGTGGAGAAGCACTCCCACGTCCACGCCAGACACTCATCCATTGCAGGATGAGGGGATGGTACACTGGTGGGCAACGCATTCACTGCACACAGATTCTGAATTGGACAGCATGGAGGCAGGCAGAATGGCTTCGGCCTAAAGTCCCTACACTTGAGAGGCAGAGCCAGGAAAACCGTAAACTTGAGGGCAGTCTCTGCTATGCATAGTTTTAGGCTAGACTGAGTCATACAATAAGACCCTTCCTCAAAATAATGACAACAATGATTTAAAAAGATGAGCTAGGACGATAGCTCATTATTACTGTGCAAGCCTAAGGGCCTGAGTTCAGTACCCAGCACCCACATAAAAGGTTACGTGTGGTGGCAAGCTTGCAATCCAGCACTGGCACAGAGATAGGCAGATCCTTGGGGTTCACTGGCTAGCCAACCCTAGTCTAATTGACAAGCCCTAGGTCCCAGTGAGAGGCCTGGTCTCAGGAAACAAGATAAATAGCCTCAGAGGAATGATGCTCCACGCTAACAACTTCTGACTTACATACACATATAACACACACACACACACATACACTTGTACCCACACATATCTACCCCACAAAAGAAAAGCAGGAAACTAGGTTGGCCAATCACGTCTGATAACTGACAGCACAAATGGAAATGCTGTAATATAACACTAGTTAGAAAAACACTCTACACCTTAATTACAGGAGATGGATTTTGATACAGTCCCACATCCCAGCAATTCTCTGGAAGGTGCTTAAGCATCTATCTCCTGACCTCGCACTTGCTGCTCCAGGCTGAGGATGACAGCCACGGCCTGGTGGAGAATCAGGAGCTTGGTCTGTGGCTTGTCGCTCTTCAGGTGGAGCTGCACCATGCGGCCCAGCTCTTTGAAAGCCTCATTGATATCACGGACCCTCAGGCGCTCGCGGGCATTGTTAGCCATCCTCCGTTCCTTTTCACGTTCTGCCTTCTGCTCTGGGGTCAGGTCCTCATCATCGTTATTGCTGTAGGGCGAGAGGGATGGGACCTTTAATGATGGTGTGGGGGAAAGACGGTATCTGTATTACATTTTCTTTGAGACTCATCTGGTCCATCCTTGGTGGAAATGTATCCATTTGACCTTCATCTGACCTTGGGGTTGGTTTAGGAAATGCACACACAAAACTTTTGGTTCCTCCCAGGGATTTTACCCAAATCCAACAGAGGAGGATGATCTGGGCTCCAGCAGGGTCATAGGGTGTCCATCCTGTTGTTGTTGTTGTTATTGTTGTAGGGGACCCAGCAGGGGAATGAAGATCTCATGCACTATGTAATATGTACTACTCAGTCTTAATGCAGACAGAGACCCAGGCTTAACTTATACTTGTGAAAACACAAACGATTACTTACACAATCTTTAGAAAATTTTCATACCGTGATAATGTAAAACGGATGGAAGATAAGTGAGAGACAGATTTTTTTTGATCATAGTAAATACAAGCCATGTTAACAGGAGTATGAAGTGGAAACAGCAGACAGCAGACAGTGTCCACCTCCAAAGACTGTCCAAACCACTGACTGTCTGAATCCGGAGTCTTCTTTCCTCTAGACATTAAATGAAAAGTTGGGCGGGGCAGGGAGGGGCATGATTTCTGTGGTCTTTCATATTATGGATGCTTATGATCTCCAAAATAAGTTGAGCTGAACTGACATCAGCTATGTGATACAATACAAAACCCATGCAACTCCTCTGTATAACTGGCCAAGAGCTCTGTGAGTCACAAAGGAGGCCAAACAAGATTCTCTGTTAGAACTCAAATATTCTGTGACTCATCACAAAAGAATGGGCTCAGTATGCATAAGGTCAGGTTCTGACCATCTCTGGCGGTCATAGTGACCCTTCTGAGACTTTGCTATTGAAGGTGAATAGGCGGATGAGCCATCTCGAAAATGTGTCTCTTACAGATGGACACGTGGACTCAGGATTGCAAACATTTTGAGGGCTATAATAAAGAAAAGAGAGTTGGGGGAGATGTTTTGTCTCAAAAAGTCTCATCAAAACAAAAAACTCCAGATGAGATACCATGAGCAAATATCTTTTCTGGATTCTGGATTTGAGAAGCATTAAGGGGGGGAAAAGGAAATACTACACACACACACACACACACAGAGAGAGAGAGAGAGAGAGAGAGAGAGAGAGAGAGAGAGAGAGAGAGAGAGAGACAGAGACAGAGAGAGACAGAGACAGAGAGAGACAGAGAGACAGAGAGAGACAGAGACAGAGACTTTCAGTCCAAGCTACTGGATACAGAACCTTGAACAGAAGCTTAAAATTCCCTAAGCCCATATTGTTCAAAGAATCAAGACGATGAATCCTCTTACTCAGAACTGAAGATGTGGAAGATTAGCTCTTCACTGTGCATGAAATGGATGCTGACTTCAAATGGGTGTAGCCCTCCCATGTGGTCTGTCCCTGAGCTCCTGGAGTCCCATTTAGTATGCCCTTGCACATGCCTATATCTCAAAGTGCTTTCCCTGTTTCTTTCCAGTCTCAGGTTTACAACAGGTTCTTCCACCCATTTTGAACTGATTTTTTTTTTTTTTTGGTACAGGGCGAGAGTCAGGGGACCCAGTTTAACCTTTCTGCATGTGGTTTTCTAGTTTTCCCAACACAGGGAAGTAGAAATAGGGATACTGAAAGGAAGCAAAGAACAGGAGAGCATGAAAATGTTCAAAGTGGACTTGACAGGAAATGCCATTATGAAACCCATCACTGTGTACAACGAACATATGCTAATAAAAAGGAGGGAAGAAAAGTCCTCAGGTGGCATCCACAGTACAAACAGGGCCTGTTACCCTGGGGGTATCCTAACCGGGACAGGCACTCTCGAACTCTGTGAAGTACTTAAGGGATGTAAGGATGCTCACACAGAAGAGTGCCTGCTGGGGCAAAGTGGTAAGAAGTGCTGCAAAGCTGGACTTCGTGACGCCCCAGCCAGCGTATCGCCCACTGAAGGCTAGTGCAAGCCCTCTCTTTTTTTTGCTTCCACATTTTCCTCCCGGCTTCTCCTTTTCCCTCTCACAGAATTTCTGCTGGTGGTAAGGGAATGCAGCCTGCTATTATATTGTTCCTGCATACCATTATGCAAAAAGGAATAGCTGAGTCTCTGGTAGGCTTATTCTGAAGCAAAAGACTGGCGATATTTTTAGACAGTGACCATGTATCAAACCTTACATAGGGGGAACCAGGAAATGGGAAGCTGTCCTTTAAAAGTTTTTAGGCTAATGACTAATTAGAAGTCATTAGTCACATAAATAAATCGCTCATGGACATAAACTAGATTTGAAGAGCACTACCTCAGAGCAGACTCTGCAAGGCATACATTAGAAATGGCACGAGGACGACTGTTAACAAGAAGACACTTAGTGGCAAGTAAAATGATGTTCTGAAACTTCCAAGAACCAATGAATATGTATACGTTATGGCCACCAAATTACCAAGAACTGACGTGACTAACAGAGAAGCTGTTCAGGATGTGAAATTCCCACCCAAGGGTTTCTTGCCAATGTGGCCACAAATCAGGAAACTGCAATGATGAGAGAGAGCCAAGATAGAAGCCCTGAGCATCTTAGGAGCAGGACATAGAATGTAACGTGTGATGTTCGTTATAAAGAAAGGAAAAGGCAGTGTGGACTTGACTCATGAAAGATACCAGCTGTGGCCCCGAGAACTACAACCTTCAAAAGAAGCTGAAGTCTTGGCACAACTGGGTAATCTGTAAAGAAAATTAACCCAAAGCAGTGAAGGCAATGTACATGGGTCCTGAGGAAACCCAAACCGTCTCATCACCAGACTCAAGTTTAAAGAGACACATTGAATTCAAAGACACCAGGAATTTAAGAACATCAACTTGAAGCTATTTCCCTGTAGTTGTGTTTTTAGTAGCAGAGAGGGGAAAAAAAAAAAACCATTAGAATTTATTTTACATGCAGCAACCTGTTCAGGATAAAACTAGGAAATCAGAATTTTCTCACTTTAAAGATAAGAAAAACACTTACAGTTGTATATACAATCAATTGACTCTTTAACGTGGCTAAAAATCTCCTTTTTAGAAATATTTTGGGCAAAAACACTTCTGACCAAATTTGAAGAATACAGTTTTAACAGGAAACTGTTTTCACTTGAATCAGGTACAAATAATTTTATGGTGTGCAATTAGCATTAGGTCCAAATTTGTAGATTCAAAGGCACTTAAGTTTCACTAGAATACAGGTATCTTAAACGATACCGGAAATACTTCTAGGACAGGCCTTCCATTTGCTTTTCATCTGAGGCTTTACCTGCCAGGAAAAAACTGAGAAGTTTCTTCCTGTTCTGTTCACTTCATCAAAGTCCAATAAAGGAATTAAATGAAGCGACAGTATTATATACTGTTACCTAGATCTTGACCTAGTAATTGATTTGATATCCTTCTTGTCGTCATCTAATTTCTTGTCCTCAGAAGATTTTGTGTCTTGCAGGTTCTCATCTCCCTCATCATCAGATTTGATCTCGGAGCTGCCAGAAGACACACTCTGGCCCTGGAGACCTGGCGGCATTCCTATAGAAAAACGAAACAATAAAAAAAAAAAAAAAGAAACAGAGATCAGCTGATGTCCAGAATTCTATGCATAAGGGCATTCACCCCAGAAACTCGGAGCCTCCAGCCAGACAACCCATCCTGCTGATCCGGAATCCCGCCGTCACTCTCCTGTGCTGTCTGGTGAAGTTTCAGAAACGCACCTGTGGAAACAAGTTTTCCTTGCATCGGCTCTGAGGTTAAATTCTATTTTGCAATCTTTTGGAGTAGATGGTAATTTCACTGTCTACAAAACATCAACTTAATTGCAATGAAAATCATAATCATGAAAATCATACACCTCAATGTTCTGATTAAGAACCCGAGTAAATATCAGCTATTATATTGAGTTTCTTCCATATGCAATGATTTAATAGAAAAATGTCCTTAAAATATAATTCCCAGGGAGTACTCTAAATATGTGCAGTCAAGGCTTCAATAGATACCCTAATGATATTCTGAAATTAAGCTTCTCTTATGTTGGAGGAGTAATCAGCATTTCAAAAGGGTACCTATGGAAGGGGGTGCATTGCTCAGAGGAGAAATCTGGAATTTTAACTTATCTCCACTGCTAATGTTCACACAACATTTGAAAGATTACTTATTTGTTTGTATGTGTCTCTGTGAAAGTATACTCACATGTATGTGCCTGTGGACACACCTGTTCTCACAAGGAGGCCAGAAGAGGGCACCTGGTGTCCTTCTCTATTACTTTCTGCCTATTGCTTTGAGGCAGGATCTCTCCCTAAAACCTGGAACTCACGTTTTCTTGATTAGTCTGGAAGCCAGCAAGCTCCAGTGGTCCTCCTGTGTCCTCTCCCCAGGAAGTTAGGGTTATAGGTGTGTACAGAATTGCTCAGGTTGTTATGAGGATGCTGCCATTTAAACTCAGGTTCTTATTGTTGCTCGTCAAGCACTCTTAACCACTCCCTGGCCTTCATACTTCATTTAAAACATGACCTTAATGAAATCTATTTCTCAGGTTGATGTATATCTGTCACAAAGATCCTTCCATTTTATAATCTGTGTACTCTAAAAACTTGTGACTCAGAATTAAGTTTCATTGACCAGGAGCATCCTTACCATCTGGGAACCCTAAGCAATGCAGGGTCCCACTGCTACAGTATCCAGATCTGCATTTTAACTGGACTCTCAGGCTACAGTTTGAAAACCATATAACAAAGAGTAACAGAAAAGCCATGGGGTCACTATTGCTTGTCTAAAAGTGAGCTACATACCTGTATCTATAAAAAGTATTCAATATTTGTATCGGTTAACAACTGAAAGCTGGTTATAGCAATTCCCAAGGTAGCATTATCTTATTTATTTCAAACATGGAGAGAATGAGAAGACACCATAAGTGAACATTGTTCATCTGGCCCACAGGAAGTTGGACCCAGGTTTAGTCTTTGTAGAAAAAAGTTCCTTGGGGACATGAAAAGTCCTCGTAATGGGGAGGTGGGGGGAAACACACACCCACATTGTTACAGGGCTTGATCACTCCAGAGCAAAACACATCCAACCCAGTTCACTGTTTCCCTTTTTTCGTTTTTATTGCACGTACATTTCCTTCCATCTTAAACAACAACAACAACAATTTCCTTCCTATCCATTTGGAAACATCATTTTCAGGCCACAACTAACCATATTAGAGGAACTGAATGAGTCAAATGTGGAAATAGCTAAAATAAAATTTCCTCTCATCAGCCTGTTGTCTCATTCCCTACTGAAATGGGACTAGGCTATCAGAGGATGTCTGAGGAAGACAGTTACGGAGGTAACACAATTAGCCGGCCAAATTCTAGCTACTTTCCCATTATTGACCACTTTTGTACCGAATTTGGTCCTTGGTTTTCTGCCAGGGCCTCCAAGATGCTGCCAAGGACACTTGACATCAATGTGAAGTCTATTGTTTCGCAAAGGTCAGTATGCCTCCTGAGGTGACTTACCTCTGTAAGGGTCTTGGGGTGGGTTCAAGTCAGGGGAAGTTGCAGACTGGACAGGAAGCTGTGGAACCGGAACCTGGTTTGGCAGGAGAGAATGGCTTCCTCGCAGAGCCACGCCATCTTCACGGTGGGCCCCAACCTGAAACAATAAAAGCAACTAGAGTGCTGAGCCTGGCCTGGAGGGACTATTTTCCAGGGGTAGCTGGGACTTGCTGCAGCAAGGGTGGCCTGTGACAAGACATCCTCTCAATGCATTTCACTAGAGGGCGCTGAAGGACTGCTCATGCACCTACAGTTCTGCACAAAAAAAAAAAAAAAAAAAAAAAAAAAAAAACCAACACTTAACACTCAGTGAGATGCCATGCCTTACATCCAGTGACAAATATGGCAGAGTAGCTCAGGCAGGTAAAACGTCAAATTGTCTCCCAGGGTGCTGCAGTGGAGCGCACTGATTCGTACCCATCTGTCTTCTATCATGTCCGCCAACAGATCTGACAATTATCTTAATGCCCATATGCTTAATTGTGGGCTTCTCAATTCCCCCATTGCTATCGGAAATCCTACAGGAATTTCAATTTGGCATTCGACTTTCATTTCAGGGGATAAGATTCTCAGGCCTGCCATTTCTTTCCCCCCACAATGCCAGCTAAGTCTCTGACAGCAGAGGCTCAGGCAGTATGGGACCCAGCCCCTGCTCGGTACAAATATAATAAAATGTCACCTGGCTCCCCAAAACAGGCAGCCCATTCCAAATTAATGTTCACTGCGTTTCATCAGCTGCTGAGTCCCCAATCCAAAGGGGAACCGTTTCTGCCAATGCCACCACACCGGAAAATGTACCAATAAAGGTTTTATTAAACACACCAGTAATGCCATCATTGCTGTGTGAGGATGTTTGGACATTTTTCCAGCTTCCCCCCCATCTCCACTACTTGGATCCTAAAAAACGACACCATACTGTAAATACTCTTTATGCTTCCAAGAAAAAAAAATTATAGAGTTCAGTGTGGTTATTTGATTTAAAAAGAATACCACTGAGTTTTATGAAGTCGGACTGCCTGCGCTAGGGTTCAGAGACTGGCAGTGTGGTTGCTGACTCTGTAGCACTTGCCTTGGGGGAAAACCATTAAGCATTTGTAAACCAAGGGAACAGGAAGCACTCACATTTGCCTCTGCATTTCCAAGTGGCTACTTAGTCAGCCCACTATCCAGTGAGCATTTAAGCCAGACAGTGGGTCTAACTCTACAAAGCATTTGTCCATGAATTTATACTGCTGTGAATCAACATTTACTTTCCTAATACAAACAGAAAAAACACAAAGCAAAATCTTCAGTCTTTTACCACCATGTTTTAAATAATTATTTCTAAAGATGTGAAACAAAACTACCGTATCACTACTCAGAGCAGCCAAGGATTTTGTATCACCTTCACACATACACAGACCCTGCCAAACTATCCACATACTACACACACACACAGACAGACACATACACAGACACACACACACACACACACACACACACACACACACACACACACACACACTCCAAAGCAATAGAAAAGCAAACCGTTCGGGACAGGGAAGGAAGATCACATACATTCCTGTTAGTGTTTAGATTCAAAGCACAGCTGGAGCAGTAAAGAACTCCAAAGTCCTAAGTGTAAATGAGCATTTTGGCTGCAGCATGGGGCAGTTTAGTTCTGGGCACTAGGTGCCTGGATTCCCGTATTCAACAGGAACTTTCTGAATGGTAGTCACTGAGTTTCCAGAAGGCTTCTTCAGATGTACTATAAGACCCTGCTCACCTTCCCAAGCAGCCCATTCTGTTTTGAACACAGTTGCCATGGCAGTAGACCCCCCAGTGTCAGTACTGGAGTTCCACAGAAGGTAAGTTCTCTCTCTAGCCTAACCAGGCAGATGCATACCCAGCCTTTCTCTGAACTCAGATCTTCTCCTGCAGACAGGCCATGGCCACCTAGTCCTTCAAACACGTCTCACCTACACTTTATGCATTTTATTTTCCTTTGGAACAAAAATAGCAGTCACTTTCCAAGCAGGTTTTGATATGTCATTTTTACTTTGGAAACCCCAATGCATTAAGTATTTTGAATTTCCATAATGGATGATTCTACGAAGGAATCCCCAAAAGCGACTGCAGATTTGACCTCAGTGTAGATGAAGGCCCCTTTTCCTACACAACCATTCTACAAATGTGCACAAGCCTTCTCTAAAGGGCACCTGTGATAGAACTGAGGATGTTCTGTGTGGTTTTTATTTAAGACAGTCACTAAATGAGTATTTTCCCTTCTAGTTCCCATGAGAGGGAAAAAGGACTTACGACCCTTTACCTCGCTATCCTCCTCATCTCTGCGGGGTGTGAAAGTCGGGGCTAGAGAGTTAAAAGAGGAAGGCGGAGTCCCAGGGTCTCTGCTTTCTCTGTGAGACAGGAGTAGATGTCATAGGTCGCTCAAGTGCAAAAAATGATACAAGTGACACTTCAGGTCACAGAGAATAAGCCCCAGGCTTATCGTAAACAATTCTAATAGTATATGGAAAATAGTGCATAACACAATAGCTGTGCACAGCACTAAGCGCTTTAACCAAACACACTTGCATATTACACAAGACTGATGGCTGACGAAGCTCCAGGACCCTCAAGTCTCAAGCTAACTCTACTGACAATTACTTTTGTATTCATTATCTCTATTTTGTTCGGATCCTTTTGGGTTAACTCCTTTCCTGTACTACGGTGGGGACATACCAGAGGTTATATTTGAGAATAAAGTTGTCTCAAGCACATTTCTTTTTGGATTTTAGGGATGCTTGTCACTTTTGTTACTTTTGTCTTTTATAGATAATTCCAAATGTCAGTTACTTCCCATATGAGAAGCTGGGGTCAACGGTGCCTTTGATGGGTCGCTGTTTTCTTTGTAACTGTGTATTTTGGGTTACATGAAAAATCCAGCTCCATGTGGTAACGAGCTGGAGCCTGTGGCTGTGGGATAATATTCCAATTTGAAGAATTAACTTGGATTGTCTTCTTGACCACAGACAGCACGTCTCAACCCTATTTACTTTTCTTTTTAAAAACATCATCTCTAGTCACATACAAACAAGGCAGGTTGGTGGTGAAGGCTAGTGCAAACCCATTACAATTGCAGCTATTAAAACAGAGGGGCTGATACACACACACACACACACACACACACACACACACACACACACATATGTGCTCACGTGCACACAAGAGAGAGAGACAGAGAGACAGAGACAGACATTGACAGAGAGACAGAGACAGAGATCGACAGAGAGAGATCACTTTTCACATATGTATATATAAGTAGGAAAAAGATTCTTTAACCAATGAATTCATTATTACTATGATATATTTTGTATATTTTTAGAGAACTCTTATTTACTAAAACCCTGTTTTGATAAACTTCCATCTAGATTCAACAGAGTTAAAAGTAATTTGTGAGAATAGTTCATTTTTCTACTACTGAAAGAACTCTTTTCTCCGTAGCCATTGTAATATAGTTTGAGGTACTTACGTTAAAAGTGAAGGTTTACAATTAATTGATTTAATTACCGTTGACTGATCAGACACTATTTACCTAGTTCACATCTGTCAGTTTACAAGGTGCTATGGACAGAGAGATAAAAAACTCAGAGGGACGCCCGCCCTCAGGAGCTTACAACAATCCCTGTCAAACTTATGTAATGACCAATTTACTGGAGAGTTTTGACAGAATGAAACAGAAACTCATTTGAGCTCAAATAAAATAAAACTCATCATAAAGGGTTCTGTCAGTTGGGTTTGGGGCCCAGAGAAGCCTGAGAAACTAAAGCTGCCTCTTGTCTCTTCCAGGACACTTGTCCCACTTCTGCCTCTCTAGAGAACCTTGGCTTTCCCCTGGTTCTGGCCCTCCTGTCCACAGGTCATACTCTTCCTTAGCGTCCTAGGGAACATTCTTCCTGGCTCTGTACCTGCTGTGAGCATTTCCCAGTTCTGAGACTCAAGGCTCTCTGAAGGACCAGTTCCCCATTTTGAGGACAGCATGGATCAGATTCTGAGTAGACCACAATGTGCTCAGGTAGTTCAAGGGACATGGAGGGGAAACAAGGCTGCCTTGGCCTTGCTCCTTCTGCAGACCCGATAAATCATGGATGGTTTCTGCAGAGTAAGATCTAAGTCACTTCAGATCTCAGGTTAGAATATACACAAATTCTGACACAGCCATTAAAATTCTCTTGCCTCAGTTAATCATGGGGGATACTGAAACACATTTAGACAGGTATTAACTTTCTGAATCATACAAATACCATGTAATTTAAATAATCATGCTTTCTGAAGAACATCAGACGCCTTAAATTCATAGAACATAAATTCAAGGGACTAGCACAGTGGTTCTCAGCCTGTGAATCATGATCACTTCGGGGAGTCAAATGACCCTTTCACAGGGGTCACAGATCAGATATCCTGCCTATCAGCTATTTACAATTCATAACAATAGCAAAATTACAGTTATGAAGTAGCAACAAAATATTTTATGGTTGGGGGTCACCACAGCATGAAGAACTATTAAGGTTGCAGCATTAGGAAGGTTGAGAACCACTGGATTAGAGGGACATAGAAATCAGGTCAAACATTTCAGAGGAGAAATCTAAGGGTAAGAACAGCTGAGTGACTTACCCAACAACTAGTTGCAGAACTAGAAAAGATCTAAACTAACTCAGAAAGCTTATGATATTGAGCAATTTCACTAAGCATATGAATTACACCCAGGAGTGGGATGTGAGTTAAGGGGCACGTGGGGCTTACCTCCTGGAGCTTTTGTTAGAAAACTGTCTGTATATATACATATAAGCATAATACATTCAGAGGTACATATATGTATATACAAATACTACATGCATGTAAATACCTGTACATGCACAGATCCGAAGCATTTTATTTTTCTTTATTACAGGGGAAAAAAATCAGAGCTGACCATCTCAGGCCATAGCCAAACTGTCTAACTAAATTATAGAATTTAATATTTGCCATGACTCTTCCAATATAAACAGATTTAAAAGATAAGCAGTTTCAAATTAGGTGGCCACTGGCCAGGCGGATTTTACTCAGGGACGCGAGGTG